GGGTTTTAGGGTTTTTACGGTTTAGGGTTGTTTGCCTAAGCCCTAAAAGCTACCGGCGTCGGGATGAGGGTTTAGGGTTCAGGGTTGAGGGTTTAGGGTTTAGGGTTTAGGGACTAGTTTTTAGGGTTCAGAGTTGGAGGTTCGGGGTTTGGGGTTCTGGGTTAATGTAGGGGCCTTAAGAATTAGAAGAGGGTTTTGGGGGTTCCTTGTTTTAATGATAGTATAACTTACCCCCCCAAAATCCTATTCTGATTGTTAAGGCCCCTACATTAGGGCTTCAGGTGTCGGGTCTTCTATTTAGATTGAAGTTTTAGGGCGTACGGATTCGGGTGTAGTGTTGACGGCTTGGAGCTCAGAGTATAGGGTTTAGGGCCGTTAATGTTGGAAGATTGTTTGTTTCCGGGTAGAAATCCCAAACCACTAAAAATACAAATCGAACCCGGTAAGGGAAATGTATATATATATATATATACATATATATATATAGATACATATACATGTCTGGTTGCGTAGTATGATTTAAAGAAAGCCGTAGATAAATCTCGTCCAAGGGAGCCGTAACGTGCGATTGAGCGTTTAGGTTTACGTTTTGCCTCTTTCAAGTTCTCCGTGCCTTCTGAGGTCATCAGCGAAACCCATGGCTACTGGAAGCAGCTTCGGAAGTCGAAGAGTGACGACCTCTGGGTGGGATAAGCATGGTTTAGGGTTAGGGTTTAGGGTTTAGAGTTTAGAGTTTAGAGTTTAGAATATGCGTATGTCCGTCAGTGACACGGTGTCCGCCTATCTAAATCAGGTCGGCCCTGGTGGATGTTGGAGTGGATTTAGGGCTTTCGTCGTTGGCTTTTGGGTTTCGGGGCTGACTTGGTTCGGCAGCCACGATGCACCGGGAACATGACATCACTGAATCGTTGACATGTAGGAGGAGCAGTTTTCCATGCGCCCGTCCTGCTGCATACTTGCGACAGAAACCCTAAACCCTAAACCCCTAAACGCCTAAACCCTAAATCCTAAACCATAAACCCTAAATCCCTAAACCCCTAAACCCCTAAACCCCGAAACCCTAAACCCTAAACCATAAACC